CTAGGGCAGAGAGAAGAATTCTCTCTGTTTAGGGTAATCATGATTTACAAAGTTCCTAGACAACGCTAGAACAACGCGATTTTAATTTAAATTGATTCTACAGATGTCGCGACTTGCGACAAAGGAGAACCCGATTCATTCTACGTATCTAGTATCCGTACGATCGGAGTTCCAGATAAATTCAGCGAGGTCGTGTTTTTGGTTATTAGTTGGTTCCCGTTTGTTTTGCGGATGGTTGATCATCGCGATGATATTTATGTAAACAAACTGCTGGACCGGGTTTCGTGCGCGATTCGCCGGTGCCGGGCATAATTCGCGTGAGGTAAGATCGATACTATTTTGCAAATTATAAGAGCGAATAAAAAAAGATGTTATTGTATTCTGATTTTGTGATTGACTTATAGAACTAGCGTACGTTCAGCAGGCAGACATTTCACGGGCTTTACATTGCAAAGGTTGAATTTTCCGTTAAATCTCAACAAGGGAGAAATGGGGGATTCCGACGAGGAGAACGAGAAGGACTTTGCGTCTGGCCTCAACATCACTGGCTTCCTCTTTGGCAACATCGACGACAATGGTCAATTGGAGGATGATATCTTGGATCCTGAAGCTAAGCAACATTTAGCTTCACTCAGTCACCTTGGTCTGAGTTCGTTCATCAATGAGATGATGTCCAATGACAACAATGCCGAGGAGAAAGAGAATGGCAAAGCGGATGATAAGGAGGATCAAAACACAACTGTGAATGACACAGATGTGGATTACTTGGCAAAATCACCCACCGCGCTAGATTTTTCGGATATAAATGAGTTAGCGGATGATACAAATGATGAGATCTGTTAGTAGCTGCATTGTGGTTTTGTATAGATATCATATTTATATACAATTGATAATTATAGCATTAATGTAATGTTAAAATGTATATTATGCAGTAAACTATATACTATATTGGAGTATGCATTACCATGCTTAGCAACTGGGTAACAAGAAGAAAAAGATGGATTGATTAGGGATTATTTCTATTTAACAAATTTTGATTAATCAATGGTTTTCTATTGTCCTTGAAAAGTACAGCAATAGAAAAAAAACAGCTGGTTATAGTCTTCCATCTTTTTTTCCGTTTTCTTCTAGAGTAGAGTTTACATTCTAGTATATAGTTGACTGATATTATGTGTCTTTATTTACAATGATTAATGAAGAGTCATGAGTTTCAATATTTGTTTTTAGCTAAAAGTAATGGACTTGACAAGAAAGTTGACAAGGAGAATGCAGATTATGATGCCGACGATGAGGAGGTCATCAGCAAATCAGATACACAATTGATGCCACCGCCGCCGATACCAGAGGAAAAAGAGGCATTGACTGCAGAGGAAGCAGAGGCGGCGCGTCAACGTAAATTGGAGACGCCCCTCGCTTCCATGCTGCCGTCCAAGTACGCTAATATCGACGTCACCGAATTGTTCCCAGACTTTCGCGCCAACAAAGTACTCAGATTCTCACGACTGTTCGGTCCAGGCAAGCCGAGCAGTCTGCCACAGATATGGAGAGGTGTGAGGAAGCGACGTAAGAAGAAAAAGCATCATGATGTCAGAGATTCTGATTCTGGCTCTGATCAGGATGACAAAAAACCCAAATTTAAGGTATAATCTCTTCATATCAATATTTTCTTTAGATCTGTGAAATTGCTAATTGCTATTGTTATTACGCTGCTGAATACAGAGGGTTAATATTGTGTTATTTGTTTCAGGGTTGGATCGTGCATTACGGTCCTGAGCCGAGCGCGGAAGCATGTCGCTCGGATGACGAAAACAAACTTCTGCGACCGGTAGAAGACAAGGAACAGACCGGTAAGACCGGCGAGAATGGAGAGAACGGTGACATGGGACCCAAAGTGGCTGACTGGAGATTTGGACCCGCGCAGTTGTGGTATGACATGCTAGAAGTTCCAGAAACTGGAGACGGGTTCAACTACGGCTTCAAGACGATTGAAAAAGTGCGTTCTTATTATGTTGTGTTTAACACACTGATTACTATTGCGTAATTATCTTTAAACATTTATACTTTCTTGTTCTGAAATTAGGTGGAAGAGCAAGAAGGCGACAAACCAGAAACCCAAGATGAGGAGTTTGCTGATGACGCATTTTTAATGGTGTCCCAGTTGCATTGGGAAGATGATGTTGTCTGGAACGGAGATGACATAAAGCATAAGGTACAATTTTGTTAATAAAGCGGTCAGTATCACATGCTTGCCAAAAATAAGAAATAAATTTATTTCTTATTTAATAGGTAATGCAGAAGTTAAACAGTAAGAACAATGCTGCTGGCTGGGTGCCATCGAGCGGTAACAGAACCGCGCAAGCCTTCAGTCAGCCAGGAAAGGGTGCCCCGGTTAATGTAGCACCTAACGTTAGACTGGCCACTTCACAAATTACAACGCCATTGCATATGCAATCTCAGAAGAATAAGATGAACATGGGTAAGGGAAATCAGCAACAACAGCGGGAGGAAGACGATACGTGGTATTCGATATTTCCGGTGGAAAATGAAGAGCTTGTTTACGGTTTATGGGAGGAAGAGGTCATTTGGGATCCTGAAAACATGAGAAAGATCCCAAAACCGAAGATACTTACATTGGATCCGAACGACGAGAACATAGTTCTAGGCATACCGGACGATATAGATCCCGCTCTTCTTCACAAGGATAATGGCCCGCAGCCCAAGGTAAAAATTCCGCATCCGCATGTCAAGAAGAGCAAACTATTGCTGGGCAAAGCGGGCGTCATCAACGTCCTTGAAGAAGACACGCCTCCGCCACCGCCAAAGTCGCCCGACCGAGATCCGTTTAACATATCAAATGACACGTATTACATGCCCAAGTCCTCAGAAACTACGTTGAGGCTGAAAGTCGGCGGCGGCAATTTGATACAACACAGCACTCCAGTAGTGGAGCTGCGCGTTCCTTTTGTACAAACGCACATGGGTCCAATGCGATTGAGAAATTTTCATAGGCCGCCGTTGCGAAGGTTCAGCCATGGGCCGTTGGCTCATCCAGGACCGCATGGTGTCTTGCCCCTACTAAAGCACATTAAGAAGAAAGCTAAGCAACGAGAGCAAGAAAGGATTGCTTCCGGTGGGGGCGATGTGTTCTTCATGAGAACACCTGAGGACTTAACCGGACGGGACGGCGAGTTGGTGCTCGTTGAGTTTTCAGAGGAACATCCACCGCTTATGAATCAGGTTGGCATGTGCTCCAAAGTGAAGAACTATTACAAGAGGAGGGCGGGCAAGGATCAGGGACCGCAGACGTACAGATACGGAGAGACTGCATACGCTCACACCAGCCCCTTCCTGGGAATACTCACGCCTGGCCAAAGCATCCAGGCAGTCGAGAATAACATGTACAGAGCTCCCCTTTACGAGCACAAAATTCCCGAGACCGATTTCTTAGTTATAAGAACGAGGTAATTCGCCTTAATATACAATCATGTTTATATTCTTCCATTTTCTACGCTTGCCAATTTTTATATTTCTTGTGTACGATCACCGGTAGGAATGCCTGGACATATACATACGAAATATTAAAGGATGTCCCAGGATTTAACCGACAAATTGCGGGAAGACATTCTACAAGTAAAAATAAGAAAAAAATGTTATATGAAGTTTAACTAGAAATGCCTTATTACAAAGTTATGAATAAATATTGAAATGGAACATAAAATAGGCAAAACTGGTCCTCTGATATCCGAGATCATCAGATTTAACGCCTCTTGATCTTTACTTATGAGAAATTAAAAGATAAAGGTTTACACAGTACAGAAGTAATCATATTGGCAACAAATATTGAAATAAAACATGAAATATAGATAACAACGGATTTTCCTACGTACAAAGTATGAATAAACCGACTTTTAGTAATGACAATTAGTAACGTATTTTAAAATGTCCTTGCATGACAATAGCACCTTGACATCGATGTAATACGAAACTTATTACAAATGCAACAAATTTCCTGAGAATTTTGTTGCATCTTACTAATTGAATTATTAATTCGTTGCATTAAATTTTCACGGGAAATTACTTCTGTACTGTAAACCTCGTTTTTTAAAGTTCCCCATAAATAAAAATCAAGAAGCGGTAAATATGGCGATTTCGGAGATCCATTTTTACCTATTTCATATTCCGTTTCAATATTTGTTTATAACATTGTAATAAAGCATTTCTAGCCAAACTTCATATAACATTTTTTTTTATTTCCACTTGTAGAATATCTCTGCAATTTGTCGGTTAAATCCTGGAGCATCTTGTGTATACATATACATATATCTATCAAAATGTTGTATTTATTTTCATTGATTTTGTAATCTTTCCAGACAGCAATATTATGTTAGAGAAGTGGACGCCTTGTTTGTTGCCGGACAGGAATGCCCACTTTACGAAGTTCCTGGACCTAACTCAAAGAGAGCAAACAACTTTGTACGAGATTTTCTACAGGTGTTCATATACAGATTGTTCTGGAAGTCACGCGATACTCCCCGACGAATTAAGATGGATGATATAAAGAAGGCCTTCCCATCTCACAGCGAGAGTAGCATCAGGAAGAGATTGAAGCTGTGCGCTGACTTTAAAAGAACCGGTGCGTAACTAATATCAAGTTGTTCGTTATTTTTTCTGCAATAAAAGCTGAAAGGAAGCAAAGTAAAAATTGCATAGAAAAAGAGCGTTGTTGCTGTTATATTTCATTTCTAAGCAAGTCTATAAACGTTTACATTACTCAGAAACCTTTTGATATTGAATAGGCATGGATTCCAATTGGTGGGTAATAAAACCGGACTTTAGATTGCCAACGGAGGAAGAGATCCGCGCTATGGTGTCGCCAGAGCAATGCTGCGCTTATTTCAGCATGATTGCGGCCGAACAGCGTCTAAAGGACGCCGGATACGGTGAGAAGTTTCTGTTCACTCCACAGGACGATGACGACGAAGATATGCAGCTAAAGATGGATGACGAGGTGAAGGTGGCACCATGGAACACGACGCGCGCATACATCCAAGCCATGAAAGGAAAGTGTTTACTGCAGTTGGCAGGTCCAGCCGATCCAACTGGGTGCGGTGAAGGTTTCTCTTATGTTAGAGTGCCGAATAAACCAACTATTAGCAAGGTTTGTTCTGACAAGTATCTATTAATTAAAAGTGTTATTATTCATATTAGAATAAATCATGAAATGTTGTTTCGGATAGGAAGAGCAAGAAGCTCAACCAAAAAGAACTGTAACTGGCACAGATGCAGACTTGAGGAGATTGTCCTTGAACAATGCAAAAGCGTTGCTGCGAAAGTTCGGCGTACCCGAGGAAGAGATTAAGAAGTTATCGCGTTGGGAGGTAATCGACGTAGTTCGAACTCTGTCCACAGAGAAAGCAAAAGCCGGTGAGGAGGGCATGACGAAGTTTTCACGTGGCAATCGTTTCTCTATCGCCGAACATCAAGAACGTTACAAGGAGGAGTGCCAACGAATCTTCGACTTGCAGAACCGCGTATTGTCGTCAAACGAAGTATTGAGCACAGACGAAGGCGAGAGCTCGGAAGAGGATAGCTCTGATATCGAGGAAATGGGTAAGAACATTGAGAATATGTTGTCGAACAAAAAGACCAGCACGCAGCTATCGCTGGAGCGGGAGGAGCAACAGCGGCACGAGCTACGGAAGATGCTGATGGGCGAGGCGCAGGAGCAGGAGAGCAAGAAGGCCAAGGAGAGCAAAAAGAAGGACGACGAAGAGGATAGCCCGGTTAACAACTTCAATGCGCAGCAGGGTCGCGTATTAAAGATCTACCGCACGTTCCGTAATCCGGAGGGTAAGGAGTATACGCGAGTCGAGCTGGTGAGGAAGCCTGCTGTGATCGACACGTACATAAAGATCCGCAATTCGAAAGATGAGACGTTTATCAAGCAGTTCGCCACATTGGACGAGGCGCAGAAGGAAGAAATGAAGCGGGAGAAGCGTAGGATTCAGGAACAGTTGCGACGAATCAAACGGAATCAGGAGAGAGAACGTATGTTGGGTGGGCCGCCGATAGTGAACGGCAGCAGCATCAACAATTCGAGCAACAACATATTTGATCGCAGCAACACTAACACCCCGACTACCACTTCCTCAACTAGTATCCTTCCATTCTGTAATTTCCAATCCTCTACTTCCTCCACCCCCGCACCCAAACATCCTAAACCGGAGGTATCGCCTCCCAAGCGCAAAAAGCCTAAACTCAAGCCAGATCTGAAGCTTAAGTGCGGCGCTTGTGGCAACGTTGGTCACATGCGTACCAACAAGGCCTGTCCGCTCTACCAGAACAGCATTGCCACAGCACCGGTTAACGTTGCGATGACTGAGGAACAGGAGGAGGAAATTGAAAAGCAGCTAAATACCGACGATCAGGATCTAGTTAATGTCGATGGCACTAAGGTGAAACTATCCTCGAAACTTATCAAGGTGAGTTGATGGATATTGAAAATTTAATGACAAGGGCTCAATCTGAGGAATATTCATATCAATTACGGAATCCGAAGAATCTAAAATGCTGATCAAAATCTATGGTTTATTTTAGCATGCCGAGGAGATGAAGAGACGTACATTGTTGCTCAAAGTGCCGAAGGAGGCGGTGAATTCGAAGAAACGCAGGAAACCGCCCACAGATGACCACTGCGATTATTTGAAACGCCACCAAAGGCCGGTTAACAGGCGTAGGACTGACCCAGTTGTCGTAATGTCAACAATGTTGGAAAGCATTCTGAACGAGATGAGGGATTTGCCCGATGTGCAACCGTTCCTGTTTCCAGTCAATGCTAAAGTAAAAGCTATTTTAACTTACGAGATTAAACTAAAAACTTCGATTATGAATCGAATTGAAATAATATTAAATTTCAATTATAAGAGCTTTATATAAGTTGATATAAATATATAAAAGTATACATAAAAATTTAAATAGAATATTTGTGTAGTGGAAATATCTTAAAAATCGAAAAATATTTTTTTACGAATATATATAAATCGTGCTATTATTTGTCATCAGGTAGTCCCCGATTATCACAAGATCATACAGCGACCCATGGATCTACAGACCATACGTGAAAATTTGAGAATGAAAAAATATCAAAGCAGGGAAGAATTTCTGGCGGATGTCAATCAGATCGTGGAGAACTCGACACTCTATAATGGAACGAAGAGTTCGTTGACTGTAGCCGCTAGGAGAATGTTGGATACGTGCGTCGAGAGGCTCGGTGAAAAGGAGGATCGTTTGATGAGGCTGGAGAAAGCAATCAATCCTCTTCTTGACGACAATGACCAAGTTGCCCTCACCTTCATCTTGGACAACGTTGTCAACAACAAATTGAAATCCATGACAGAAGTATGGCCGTTCATGAAACCTGTGAATAAAAAAATGGTGAAGGATTATTACAGTATTGTCAAGAGGCCGATGGACCTAGAAACAATATCTAAAAAAGTTTCTGGTAAGAAATTTTAATTTGTTAATGTATAAAAGATATAGATTTGTATGATTGTAATTTATTTTCTTGAAATTAATTTATCTATTTTTAAAACCCTTTCAGCGCACAAATACCACAGTCGTAACGAATTTCTCAGAGATATCGAACAGATTTTGGAGAATTGCACGCTTTATAATGGCAAGGACTCTCCGCTCACAAATAAAGCGGAGTTGCTGGTTAAAGTGTGTAAAGACACATTAGACGAGGTATAAATGTTTTTATGTTAATTAGATGAAAAAAGTTATTAAGAGTTCTTAAAAATAAGAATAAGGAATTACTGGAATAGTTACAAACAATGATGAACTTTGTTTTAGTATGATGAACATCTGACGCAACTAGAGAACAATATAGTGCTCGTGCAAAAACGGGCGATGGAACAAGCGGACATAGATTCCTCGTGGCTTTGTCAGGATGAGGAAAACTATACTATTACAGAACCTGAATACAGAGGCGTAAGGATTATATTTATTCTTATGTTTACTTAGCGTATATATTTCTTGCTTATAATTCACATTTTATTATTTCGTTACTTAATCTCCGCTTTTTTAATGCTTGACGTCTTTAATTTCTACATTTTATTCAATATTGAAATTATGCTCAGAGTCAGACCAGTTCTCCGGAAAATCCATTTGGCAAATCAAATATGGATGACTTCGATTTTGTCGATGTAGAAGGAGACATGGAAGCGGATATGGATAGAAACTCGAAAAAGAAAGATGTACTCGAAGAAGGTAAAGCAATATAATCCTAATTTTATTATGTATCTATCGGAGTTTGATTAACAGTCTTTCTTTCTGTTACAGATCTTCAATTCTCCAGTGAAGATGAGTTCGATGAAGTGCCATTCGGCACAGACGAACATTCCGAGCAAAACGAAACGGAGGCACTGGAATTAAGTGAAGTCAGAGAAGAAGGTGTCATATTAGCGGACGATGATAGTCAGCAAGCCGCCGAGGCGATGGTCCAGTTAGGCAACGTCGGTTTTTATATGGGCGAACAGCAACTGCTTCAACAAGGTAAGAAGACAAAGTTTCAAGTAATCAATAATTGATTTTTCTATCGCTTTGCTTGATAATCTACTCTTTTGAAGAAAATAGAAACCATACAGGAATATAGATAATTCAAGAGAAACCTATTACTATTTTTAATCGCGCGTAACCGAACGGTTTCAAGAAATACGAGGTATAACTCTTCAAAAATAAAACGAATTTTTTATTGGATTGTTTGCTCGATAATAAAGTTGTATCAATTTTTTACTGACTCGTAAATGTTGACTTTCCACTCGTAGATGAGAGCATGGACGTCGATCCAAATTACGATCCGTCAGACTTTCTGTTGGCTGGTTTACCGGCCAGAGACGATAAAGGCGAAAATAAGATCCAGGACGACTTAGCCGTTTCCGAAAGCGACGATGACGCCGAAAACACCACATTAAAGCAGGAAGTAGAAGAGCAGAATCAGCAGCAACAGCTGCCGCAACCGGACGAGGACGTCGGCGGTGATTTGTGGTTCTAAATACGAAAGCTTTGTTACATTTGTTAAAATAATATGCGAGTACCGTGTATTTAATATATTTAATAATGGGTTAGAGATATAGTTAAAGACTCGCGAATTCTTAAGTCCACTTTGTAAAATCGAGAATTTTGGGACGTACTCTTCGTACATTATGTGCATAAATGTATAGGAATTTGTAAATATAGAATAAAGTATTGTTTTTTATCTACGGACGTGTCCCGCTATATTATATCGCTGTACTTATGTAAATAATATGTATTATAGATCGTTATTACTTATAGATCTTTTTATCGTGCTATTTTAAATTTAATACGTCGGCAAGAATAGGAGACAGGTAATATGAACATTAAAATTGTGGACTGGTAATTACACTGAAAAACATCACAACACGAATCTTTTAATACGAGGTAAGCTGCAATTTCACGTTTCTATTATAATCTTCCAAAAAAATTGAAAGTTGAATTTTAACCCGCATAAAATATTTTGGTTTTATTATTCCATATTTTTATAAATTTCAGTCTCTTCTACGTATTATATATAATATTATTCATATTATTGCTCTCTATTATATTTCTATTTTTAATATCTCGTATTTCGTTTTTTAGGAACTCTGGCTTCTGTCACATTTCTCTTAAAATCTAAGCAACTTTGTATCGATTCTACGAATGATCACCGATGAAGAACTCGCACGAAGAATGGATGATATCTCTAAGAGCTTCTCGTCGACTGTTTTTCACTCCCCGGCGCAGCAGGATAAGACTTTGGATAAGATAACGATGATCGTTAGAAATGCGACGAAGAAGCAATTGCAGTCTCGCCATCCTCGCGCACTTGTCACGTGCCTCCTGAGGATCCTGTTACACTATGAGAGCGTGCTGCACATGGATGGGTTTTGCGAATGGAAACGTCGACGGAAGTTCAGAGTCGCTCGAGACTGCTACCACTCCCTGCTGAAGAGCTACCTGCCGGAGAAGTCGCGGGAAGTTGTAGAGACGATCGTAGAAGCCGTCTACCACGAGCGACTCTGGAAATTCGAGACCTTCTGTTTCGAAGTGATGTACAGTCTACTGGACGTCAGTCCTGTTAGCGTCGGGCTGATCATCCACGCAGTCTGGAACAAGTTAACGCTACCAGAGATCGGCGTCGAGGACGCTCGCGGCCTCGTCAGAGTATTGTACGAGCTCCTTGACGTGTATGTGTGGCCAGCAACGCAGGATACAGTGGCGACGATAGAGAGGATGCTCGGGCTCTTTCACGCCAGTATCATCGCACGATTGACAACCATTTTTGACTCTTCTTCCTCCGCTTCCTTGGTGCCATCGCTGCCGCCACCGCTCGCAAGCCTCAAGAAGGGTTTGGAAGTTTGTCTGAGAAACACCATGAAGCATCTGTCGAATGATCAGCTACTGGTGGTCGTGCAGCACATGTGCTCATGGACAGTAGCCGCAGGCACGACTGACGAATTCGTTCTGGAGTTTGGCAGCACCCTGGAATTTGCCGCTTATACGCATCAGGCGGATCTATATGAGCAGACACTCACGCCGACGATCTTCCCGCTGTTAATGCGAATGGTGGGCTCGTCTAGTCGGTTGACCAGCCTTCTGGGCAACCGGGTGCTTCAGTACTTGATGGACCGCAAGGACAACCGTGCGATTTTCGACACGCCTAGGATCTTTTTCGAACACACGCGTCTCGACCTGCGTGTCGCACAGTGTCGCAAAGAAGACAGGCTGTTTTTCAAGCTGCACCGCGAATTGCTGCACGATAGCCTATTGAAGAGTCTAATAAACCACATGAACTCAAGGATGAATCTCGAAACGACGTACTGCACGGTGTGTCTGATTGCCGTCGAGGTACCATGCGGCTTCACGGCCGCTGCCCTGGTTTGCCTCGCGATGAACCTGCAGGAGATCATCCTGCAGCAGCAGAATAATCGCGTGGAGGTAGCCTGCCACGTGCACGCTATGATCATCTCCATTATGTCCCTCATCTGCTGGATACACAAGGCCGAAGTGTTCTACAGCTACGTGAACAGGATCGTGATGGAAAGGGCGCAGTGGGCGCCGCATCTGAACCCTCCCATCCAGTCCCAGTATAACTTTGCGTTGCATCACGTTCTCTGGAACAAGCCGGAGCTGTTCTTCATCGACTGGGAGGCGCGCTACGGCCTCTGGAAATGCTTCCGTCTCACCGACAGCCATGACAGCACTTCATTAATCGTTTGATATAAGCTCCACAAATCGAATGTGATTTCTGAAATGAATCAGGATTTCACAGATCTCTCTCTTTGAGATCAACTCTATTATATTTCGAATGAAGAAAGATTCATGGAAAGGTTAGAAACTATTCAGGGCACTCTGAATTTAAATATTAGAGAGGAAGAATGAAGAATTATATCTTACAAGTATAAATAGATATTAATAATAGGAATTAATAGAGAGATTATTGTGCAATAACAGAATAGTTCTGTTGTTATTTGTATCTTATTTTATAAGACGTTTGTAGAAAATTACATTGATGCCCAGTTGAGCCTATTGAGTTATATAATTATATAATAATTCATATACAGGGTGATTGAGGAGGAATCTGCAATATTTCGGGAGGTGATAGTATTGATGATTCTAAGCAAAAAGGGTCATATGAACATGGTCCTATTCCTAACGGTTACCGAGATATTCTGGTTATAACGTGAAAAGGCAAATAACGTCTCGTTCTCTACTATCAGCCTTAGGTGTTGTCAGCCTTGGTTGTTGTTGCACGACCGAATATCAAATGACTGACAATGCTGTACTGAAAACTGAAGAAGGTAGTGTAAACGTTGTCAGTCTTTGTCTTTTATTTCTATCCCTCCATACGCATGGTGCTTTTTTCACGTTATAACCAGAATATCTTGGTAATAGTAGGAATAGGACCCATGTTCATATGACCCTTAGAATCATCAATACTATCACCTTCCGGAATATTGCAGATTCCTCCTCAATCACGTATTATATTATATGTATGAATTTAACTATAGATGTGTGTGTGTGTGTGTGCGCGCGCGCGCGCGCGGTCCACTTGACGCTACAAATGCTTCAAAGCATTCCTCTTCTTTTCTTTCAATGAAGAAAGAAGGAGAAGAAGAACGCTCCAAAGCATTTGTATAATAGCGTCAAGTGGACCGCAGCCTATTATATTGTGTATAATTAAAGCTAAAATATATACAGGGTGTGTTATTTCGTATGCCAATTATCTCTGCCAATTACCCCCTCAAGAATGGGGGTGGGTTTTTATTTAAAAAGTTCGACTTGGGCTCTACTGGACTCAACATGGATCCCGGACCTAAAATCTAATAAAATCGTCTATTGGCTTCCTTCGAACCCTTCAACTTTTTTTTATCTGAAACATTTTTCCAATAAACCGATACTTTCTGATTGAGATAATTAACGGAGATAATTGGCACATATGAAATAAAACTGATCCTGTATTGTATATATATTATATATGTGTTTGTGTAAAATATGTAAAGCGGGGAGCACAGACTTTTACATAATGCATAATGCGTAAGCATAAAAAAATTGATTGGTCCATATACATGTGCATAAAGAAATAGACCAATCAATTTTCTTATGCTTACGCATTATGCGTTATGCAAAAGTCCGTGCTCTCCGCTTAAATATCGTTGATATATATCATATCTCGACCGCATTGTTATTGGTCATTGTTGGTTGCGGCGCCATTGCGCGAGATTGCACGCCGTGCACGCGTCGCCATCTCGGAGCGCGACGAAGATCGCATGATTTATGGCGCACCGCTTTTGTAATTCGCGCATATCGAAGTGACTCAGGCCTCCGCGCGCGGGACCGCGTTCTAAACTGTTTCTGATTGCGTCTTGCACAGTGAGCACAGTCTTGCATCTTGCACCTTGCAGCTACTACTTTTACGGTGCTCGAACGATCAGTCAGGCCTCGAATACTTGAAGTGCAGCTCTATACTTGCGATATAAACGATCTGACAATGTTATAGAGCAGTGTCGAAAGCATTGTCAGTTAATTAGTTTCGTCGTCATCGTTATAGTCATTGTCGCGGGGAGGATTCTTGTTACAAGGTTAACTTCCTCCGCTTGTAAACACGGAATCATCGAAGGTAAAGAAATTGTGGTTACTGTACCGATAACGTTATCCAATTTCAAACGACACAAGTGTAACATAGCATAGTGTAATATAGCAGTTCATGCATTGACAATCGTAATGACAGTGCGTCATAGGTAGCTATAGAAGCAGCCTGATGCGGCACTCGCGAATTATCTAGGCTATCTAACGTTCTCTTGCTTTTCTACCGAGTATACGAGATGTCTTTCACGTAGGAACAATGTCTGACGAACAATTCTCCTTGGTGTGGAACAGCTTCCCCACAAACTTGTCTTCGGGTTTGTACACTTTGCTGACAGACGAGCACCTTGTGGACGTCACGTTGGCCGCCGAAGGTCAGATCCTGCGAGCCCACAAGCTGATATTGTCGGTCTGCAGCACGTATTTCCGAGAGCTTTTCAAGGTATATTATTCTAGTAGCAACGGTTGTGGGAGCGCTTCTGCTGAAGCTCCAGTGATTTGTTGTACACAGGGAAACTCATGCAAGCATCCTATTGTCATCCTGAAAGATGTCAATTATCGAGATTTGTCAGCTATGCTGCATTTCATGTATCAAGGGGAGGTCAATATCAAGCAGGAGGATATTGCTGGTTTTTTGAAAGTTGCAGAGGCTCTACAAATAAAAGGACTGACTACAGAAGCAGATGAGGTTCGCTATACGGCTGGAATTATTTTTGCAAAGATATAGAGTGCTTTGGGAAAGTGCTAATGTTACAGTAACAATGTGTGGAATGTGAGAAAGGGTGCTATTACTTATAAAAGTTGTTACTCCTTTTCCAAATCAATTTCTATATAAACTCGAATAAAATATATTGAGAGTGTACGGTGCTTTTACAGAGCTGATTGTTGCATTGCAGAGATTCAGAGAAAGTCTTGGGAAGAATGACGAGGACTTTGAGGATCGTGATTTCTATGAGATGGAGAGGGACAAATGCGATCCTAGCGGTACGGATGAAAACGTTTCCACATTCGGCAGGCTGACGCATATCGTGAAAGAACAGTCGACAACGAGGCAGAGCACTTCGACAGACGATATCTCGACGAGAGAAAGACCATTTACCGTACAAACATCAACTGTCACTGACACTTGCCACTGGCAAAGTTGCACTGAAGCCGACTACAATGCTCCGGACGCACGGACGGCATTCAGCGAGAGGAGCAGAAGTACGGATGCGCCGTGCGAAGAACAGCCGTTGGATTGCACGTCCGACGTGAGTCAGCCACAGTCAACCAAGCACGAACCGCTGGATTACACGATGGACACGGACACGGATTCGGGATACAGATACACGGCGGAAAAAATACTCTATACCGGCAACGAGAACGTGCCGAAACAAGGTAGTGATTCTCCCCCCCATCCTGTCGGCATCTCGTGTACTTTAAAGACAACGCTAACGGTAGATCGAATGACGTCGTCGGAACGTCATCCGGAGCTGAAACGCCCTTCGGCAAAGAGAAAAGTTTGCTGTACCAGCAGTATCGGCGCCCCAAAGGTTTGACGCACTCAAGTCTTGCCACGGATAGATGTATACTTTGTTATTGAGACTCATTATCACATGTTTGACTGCGACGCAAGCTCCTAAGCACTTTTACGTACTGAATAATTAACCCCCGGTATTTCTAGCGTGGACATTTTTTATCTCATTGCCATCCTTCCAACAAGCGACTTGGTTTCTCTATCAAATTTCTAACGCATTACGATTTAGCAAGGAATATGGTCATTTATCACATGTAAAATCAGTTCGTTGAACCGCAACGCCGGGGGTTAAAGTCAATTTAATCTCTGTGATCAACGCAATATCACGTTTGCATGTTCACGCGAATGGGTGTTTCAAATCCGAGCAAACGATGTTCCTCGAGTTATACTCTGCATAAGTTCATCAGGCACCTCATCTCATCGGTCATGAATGTCTAGAGAAAGCGATGTTATCTTACAGATATCACGCCAGATACGCAGTTAGTTCCCTACAATCAGAATTCACAAACTCAGCCGTTCGGTACGTTTTACACTTCTACCGCATTTCGCTTGTCGTTCACATTCTTCAACTTGTTCAGCAGCATGTACGGAAAGAGAACCAATTCGCAAGATACTTTTTTTGCAGGCGGATCATATATTGGCTAGTTTCATATCCCAGTACTCGTGAATTGGTTCTACGCTGACGATGGTCTTATCCTCTGTTTCTTTTCAAATCGCAAAACTATTCGTTCTCATGCTAATTTGTCACTTATCTCTTTAGATGATGACTCGACTGTATAATGAATGAAGCGATTTTGTTACAGGAAAAATACAAATTGCATCATTCATCTTTTTTATATTTCTTATCAATCTTTAAATGTAAATATACAAGTCATACCTCGCCTTCTTTTATCGTATAAGTTAATTTTTCAATATCTCAGAAGTCGTATCTCTGCTATGCACATATTGCACATTGCTTATAAGTATTAGATTGGTGCAAATTTAGTTGTCGCTTCCCTATCCAACTTTATATTAAATAAATTTAGGAAACTTGAGTTCTTTGAAGATTGAATTGAAAGATTTCTCTGTACATGAAAGAGGGAAGCCTATGATCTTGCTTCCACTTTACTGAAATTGCGTTTTTAATTTTATTTGGCAAATATAAGTCTTTCGCAGCGATCTAATATTTCTCTCTCTCTTTCTCTCCCCCTCTCTCCCCCCCCCCCCCTCCCCCCCCCCTCTCTCTCTCTCCCTCCCCCCCCCCCCTTGACATTCTCGGTACTCAGGAAGAAAAAACCGCAAGTTATCTACAGCAATTTTACATTTAGGCATGAAAGTATGCAGCGCCATACTAGAGCTCCGATTGATGCCCTAAACTTTCCGCTCTGCCGTACTGAATTCTATAAGCGATCTTTTTGTTTATCCGCTGCCGAGCCGTGAAACTCTCTCCCTTCTGACATTTGCAACGCGACGTGTATCGGCTCTTTCAAGACCAAACTATATGAATTCCTGTTTTCGCAATTTTCGTCTTTAGGTGCATGAGACTTCCGTCAGCAGATCTGAGCGTATCTTGAGATTATAGTGTAAACTATCTTTTATTCTATGGCTTTTGTAAATTATCTTTCAGTTATGGCTTTTTCTTTTTAGTTGTAAGCTCTAAGATAATGTAGTAACACGTCTCATTTATATTATCTGTATTTTCTTTGTTTTCTTTATTCTTATATTTTTTTTTGTAACTGCTTCTTATATATGAATCCATGAGAATGTTTTATACTTAATTTGCTACTCTTTTTGTAATTTAGTTTCGACGCTTTAGGGGACGTAGTCCCAGAGCGTCTAATAAATGACGATTCTGATTCCCCCCCCTCTCTCTCTCTCTCTCCCTTCCTCCCTCCCTTCCTCTCCCTCCCTCGCCCCCCCCCCCTCTCTCTTTCGCTCTCTCTTTTTCTTATACATTTATGTGCATCCTATTTAACATTCATCTTTCACACTCTTTATGTAGTTCCGTGATAGCTTTATCGAATCGAACGCATCTTTGATATTCTCTCACATCTTTCTCGCCAGGTCTGAGCGACACGGCGACTTATCCGAGTGATTTCACGTATGAGACGGCGAATTCCAGCAATAAGGGACGACGTACCGTCAAGGGTATCCCCGGCAGCAGCTTACCGTTGGAGACAACGTTACGTGTCGTTTCAGAGCTGGGACCGACGTTGCGCATGGAGCATGGCAAGGTAATACGTATGTACGCGTGCCCGTGGTGCTTGCGTCAGTTCACGCGCAAGGAGAACCTCAAGCTCCACGTCCGTTATATTCACGGCCCGCTTGAAAGTCTCACGTGTAAGCTTTGTGGTAATAAATATAAGAACAGTAACAGTCTGCGTGTACACTCCTACCTCTATCACAACGCCAAACGGGATAAGGGCAGCAAATCGCTGGCAGCCGGCGACGACGGTGTCAGCGTCGACGGCGATGGTGGTACCGGCGACAGCGGCGGTGACGGCATGTGAAAGGACAGTTCTCTCGGGAAGGTCTCCCTTCAACATGCCCGCCGAGAAAGGGCAACGAAGATTAACGAATGCTAACGAGGCGGAGAGCGACGAGCTGCGACTGAAATTTATTATATTTATACTTGCGCACCATGCTACAACTCGCACAATCTAGACATAAGAAGTACTATTTCTATACGATGCTAAATGAGCGTGAGGTTTTTAGAAATAAAGCGCCTTATTGTACACGTTCTTGCAGAGCTATCTACCCTTTCCATCTACCGTCCGATCTTCATCACTCCCACATCTTCCGAAATTCATCGTCATTCTCACGATATGTGCGGGCGAATTAATACGAGTATTTATCGAGTACATTACTTCGTGTGTACAACCATTGCGGTGCAATCGCGAATATATGGGAATAAGTGCCCATCTACAATAGGTGTTTTAAGCCCTAAGCCCTAAGAAATTGACCAATCACAGTCAACTATTCTCCTCAAATTCAACTGTGATTGAACAATTTCTTAAGGCTTAGGGCTTAAAACACCTATTGTAGACCGGTACTAAATATATGGAAAAATTCAAAGGTTTCGTACAGCTTGGGCTTCTGGCAGTTTTTCTTAATTCTATATTCTCGTATTTTTCTTTTCAGGACAATTACATATTTTAAAACATTGTATCGATTCTAGTACATAGCATAAAGGGATCGATCAATGCGGTAATTTTAATACGTATTACAAATAATTCATTGAACATACCGTCAAAAAATGGCAGTACATTTCGATTTCATCGTAACACATTCCATGCAATTCGAAGTACCTATATATATTACGATTTTCAAAATATTAAAATCATCGGACACATAAAACGTGATAATCAAAATAATAAATTGCATACGTTTAACGTCGTAAAATAAAATTTCTAAGATATTTCAGATATATATTAGATATAGAAAAATGATCGAATGTTGCATTGTGTGATATTTTCCTAATATTTTAAAAACGTAATCGAAAAAATTATCGATTTCTACGATGTTTCCGCAACGCTAATAATGAGATTATAAATGTCGAATAGAATAAGAAATAATTAAGGAGGACATGAAGCACGCGGTATAGGTATCCAATAAGTGTGAGAACAAAGAATGTTTCGAAGTCTGCTATTGGTTACAAGCGCCTGAATGTTATTGGTCGAAGTACACGTGTCACGAAGCATGCTTTACACGTGCGTTGTCTCTTGGCGAGCTGCTGGCCTACTAAATCTGTTGCTTTAACAATTTTCAAGTTTTTTTATTCATTATTTGTTTTTATCATTCACATATGACCTATTATACGTACATAATTTATTAGTTTGACCGGCTTACGTACCGTTCGTACTCATCGGTTTTAGGTTTTAGTCATTATCCAGACCACCGATTTTTAATATAGTACGCTGGCGATTTTTCCACGAAAAACGAAGCATAATACTGGAATGAAGAACAAAAGACAGATCTATGATTAGCGCAATGTTCATAAATCATATAGTGATTAGGCAAGATTAATAAAGTTTACGAGAGATTATTTTTGTAATAAATATGTCATCTTTTGACGAAAAAGTAAAACATACATTGAAGAGTTACATCACACGACAACATCAACGGAAGCAGCAGCAAGGTATACCGTTTTATTTGATTTTGTGTTTGTATTTTTGCTTTTTATATATTTCATTTCGGAACAGAAAATAAAGAGCAAACTCCAAGCGCAGAAAGGTGTGAAATAGAGAGAAAAATCTGCTATGTGCAAAGGACGATTTCCGAACTAGAGAAGGAGAGACGTATGTTGATCCAGGAATTCAAGCAGGTATTGAATGAGGAGATCGAAATTGAAAAACAACGATATATGGAGAGAATGAGGTTCGTACGCCGATTAAGATTCCTGTTTACTCACCACTACTATCTCAGATTGTGACGTCAGAAGTGAAAAAATATACAATAAAAATTCTTACTAAATATATTTAAATGGAAATATGTTTCAATAAATCAACACTTACAATCGATAGAACCGACTTGTAAAATATACCGAAAATTAATTTTTTGTTTCGGGGAGGAATTAAATCATATTTATTTCTATATATTATTAATTTGACAGTTGTCATTAGCTGTGAACATAGCTTATTTCGTTTTTTATTATACATAATTAACGAAATAAAAAGAGAGTTTTCGGTATTTACAAGTCAGTTCTATCGATTGTAAGTATTGTTTTATTAAAACGTATTTCCATTTTAATATTTAGCAAAATTTTTACTGTATATTTTCTTGCTTCTGACGTCACAATCTGAGTATATATATTATATAATGTTTATTAACTTTAGCAATACAGCCAGAAAGTGGAATGTCACAATCTGAGTAGTGATGAGTGAACAGAAACCTTAAAATATCATTGCAAGATATCAAGTTTAACAATTATAGAATTATAATATGATTTTGACTTTTTAGTGCTTGCTTTGAAGACTCAACAATGGAAAATGGTTATGTGTGAAAGTAAGAACAAGAATCATCACATTCACCAGTGAATGCGCTTATGAGTAGAAAATGCTTTTTATATTTTAATTTTAAACTTTATGTATTCTATTTGTTGGATATCGTGTTTTTAATACGATTAAATATATCAATATATATGTGAGATTTTCCTACGATTGAACCAAATAAGAATACTAGTGATGTATTAGTGTTCAAGCAGAGGGGCTCTTTATAAGCCAGTTTCAGACAGACAAATGATAGAAATAAAGTATTGTATACCAAAAGGAAATACGCCATGAGATTAATTGTATTTATTCGCGGATTATTGTCATCAATGGTGCTACAGTTCAAGGTCGAGTAGGTCGAGCCATGGCCTTCTGAATTGTTTGGCCTTCAGGTTTCTTAACAGTAATTTTTAAGGGGGCAGGTTGTTAGCCTAGGCACTCAACTCCCAGTTTGGAAAACTAGAAATCACTTTTATGGGGGGATACACATAGCAGTTTCCAGTTGCTATGTGTGGACCAACAGCTTAACGTCTCTTCCAAAAGACGGAGCCCAGTTTCTCCGCATGAGAGCCCCCCCCCTTTATTTTTCGTACGGAGGGTGTAGTTTAGAATATTAAAATTTCTGTGATCAGGTGGACTCAAACCTGGTTTTCCGTGGTTACAAGTTTGACACCCTACACTAGACTGTCATCCCGATTTTTTGTTCGCGGATAGCAGAGAGAAGAATTCTCTGCGGATATTCTAAAAAAGAAAGAAATATAATTTCTAGATTGAAATGAAATATGTGAGGATAAATTGCAGAATATCGCTTTACATTCTCACACCCATAAGACATCCGATTTTATCGCACTCTTCATATTCGACAGATATTATACAAAATACAAACGTTACAATTAATTGGTAAAACTAAACGAACATTGAGAAACTGTGCGAAGATTTAGTCCGCAGTAGCGTTAATGATGCACGGCGGCGTAAAACGCACGTAGCGTATGGTATTCCAAATGTTGACATATGTCGAAGACAGCGTGATCGCTATACCAATCATTACTATGAAGCAGCCGAAGTAATTAATCATCCTTTCTAGATTCCATAATTTCTTCCTCTTTGCAACCGTTCCTGCGGTCTCCTCTTGCGGATCACCTGTAGACCTCCTGATTCGACTTCCGATTGGCTCTGTAGCATCGATAAGAAGCGGCTGGTCCTCCTGACGAGTTTTAGTCATTGGAATTTGAGTGGCTTCGTCCCTGCGTTCGCCCTCGTAACAATCAGCGGACTCGCCGCTCAAATGTGAATTTATCTCGTCATCTAAGTCGTCGAAGTAGAGATACGTGTAGCTAGTAAAAATTCAATATTAAAACGCTAAATGTAGGTCGAATGGATTTAACAAAGATAACATGCTTTGGAAAAATAAGTTTTTCAATTTACATATAGAGTTAATTAATAAAAAAAAAAGTATTTAGATATATCTAAGCATTCGATACCTGCGAGGATTATTCGTGGCACTCAGGAAACCGTAGTAAATTGAACGGGAATGAGCTCCGGGATCCATCAAACGTTGCTCTTCGCCGTTAAGTCTTTTGCGAGAACCAGAATAAATTCGTCCCTCGACAGTTGGTATATGATTCGATTTTTTCTTTAAAGCTAATGCTCGAGCGTATATTAGAGGTGGTAAAACAAAGACCAATGATCCGGTTAACGAGCCACCGATCAGAGCCATAACGATGTCGAATCGCGATACCGATTCGCCTACAACCACGCTGAGAAAAACTACCGCCGATCGCATGGCGCATCGTTTCCATCCAAAAGCTGATTCAACATAATAGTAGGGTAAATTAATTATGGTTTTAATTAAATCACAGTTAAATGTAAAGTTTCTTTACTTCTTTGTACGCTCCATTGATCCTCCAGATGTTGAAAGAGTGCCGAGTAGCCAATTACGCTGGAGAAGCATAACTGAAGAGCGGCTAATAGAATGGCGATATTTGCAATCGATCCGGATGGCACAGCCTCAAGAATATTGACAGTCGTATTGCCGCCGTATTTCCACACGGCTAGGCAAGTAGTAATGGTGAACAGCGATCCGCTTGCTATTGTAAACAAAAATTAATGTAAGGAATAATGCTAACAGAGAGAGGAGTTGCAAGAAAAGAAAACGCTCGGAGCTATAAAATATTATTTCAATATTGAGGAAGTAGATGCGAAATTATTTAAGATTATAAAAAGTGGAAATTTGAATAAATGGAAGAAAAATATTTTATATTGTGACTCCGCCCCAAAGTATACAGAGACAAAATGCAAGAAATAATTTTTTCCGCTATTTTTTACCCATGAAAGAAAAGAAGATAGCTTTATCGATGTCTCGAGGACTGCGCATATCAACCTGTATCGTCATTAAAGTAGGATGCACATCGAACTGAAAGGCTAGCATACCATATCTGAAAATTCGTTCAAGTAATTATTAAATAATTAATTAATAGATCGTTTGATTTGGCAAATTTATACTTAATATTATACTATAATATTAATTATTTTATGATGTACTTTGACTATGGAAAAAGCTCTTGCTAAATGTATATTTGTGTGATACAGGAATTGCACGTACCCGGAAATAAATTTATCCCACGTTGGAGAAGTGACAATTGGTGCGACATCAGATGTTCGGTCATCAGTTATAATGCTCCACCACGTTAATATCGCTGTTAAAGCGACCATTATACTAGAGCACGTTGCGATCCATCTATAATAATTCAATAAATAGTATTCATTTCCGGTGTATACGAATTATAATAATATGAAAAACAGTTTACTGACTTACTTCATGTCTCGCGGACTGCCCAGCCACATTAACGGGCAAAGTAAAAGGCCGACTATCAATAGCCAATAACAGAAGGAAAGATCAAAACGTTGTCCCGATATCTTGAGCCCGAACAGATGCAAGTTCTGTGAAGCTGAAAAATCATTTGCGTTTAACAAAATGATATGCAGGATATATCTCATAACATCTTAGAAAAGTCTATTAAAAAATGCAATATAATTAAGAGGATATTCTTCTTTGCATTCGTATCAATCATGTCGAGCACAAAGAACAAATTTTTGAACGGAATAAAAATGATTGTTACTTTGTGTTTTAATCCATGAGTATAATTGCAGGTACCTATTTACCTACCGACTAACAAATTCGGGATGCCGCAACCAAAAACCGTCAGATCCAAAAGCAGAGTAATGATGGATCGTGCGCGCTGCCCCATCGTTAATTCCGTCACAGCGGCGAGAGGATAGCTGCAATTTTAATTATATATCTAGACGTAAAATCTACATTTTTAAATGTCTTATTGTGTGGAAAACATTGAAGAATTTAATAGAAAGGTGTCTGAGAGAAATTTGTACAGACATGCGTACATTTAAATGTTCTAATTCTAGATGGACGGTGGAGAGATACCGATTTTTTCGTGAAATCTGTGGATCCAGAGCAGTCGCGATAATCCATGATCTCCCCAACAGAATGGCCGTATAAATTTGCAAACCAAGAACAATAAGCACCAAAGGGATTCCGTACAGTCCTAATAACAAGTACACATATTTTTTCAACAAGTACATATTACATTCCATCCTTCTTTGTGTATTAATATATGTCCAATTTTTTTATTCCAAGGATTATATCTATCAACAAAACGGAATATAGGAAACCATTAACAAACGAACAATTTGTGCTGGCGCTTTTATTGATAGATTAATACAGGAATCAATAATTATTACGCGATACTCTTTATTTTAATTAACATTAACTTATTGCTATATATAATGTCATCACAAATATACAATCGTTACAAACACTTCTCGCAATCAAGCAAGCCTCTCTTTCGCTATACAGAGCTTCTCGTATAAATTCCTCTTTTATTTCTGGTAAGTATTTTTAATTCATAATTGAGAAAGATCACAGAGATTTCTCAGGATGTTCGGTATTCTTGCAAAATATTTCATATCGTCAGATACTTCTCTTAGCCCGATAAAAATTGCAGCGAGATCTTACCGCACTGGACAATCGATCGTGGTAACGCGATTATCGGGAATACGCCGAAAATATCGACGATGCACAGAGTGGCGAAGAGCAACGACAGCCCCGAATTTCCGTCCTTCCACAACGTTGCGCTTTCGGGATTCATGTCGCTCGCTGCTGAGACACGGTACTGAGACACATAATGTTCAACGTGGTAAGAATCTGGACCGGTTTTCGCCGCGATACGCACCGTACCGCAGCACCGAGGTAACCCGATACCGTATCGAACACGAGTGACTTAGCCCGGACGGG